AAAGGGATGAAGAAAGTTTCGGTACATATCATGTAGGCTTGGTGGTAAAATTTACCTTATTCAGTATTCAAAATGGGTATTAGGATTTTGGATCTTTTTTTCAAGATAGTAACTGGAAACTCATAAACTATTGCTTTATACCGGCGGCTGGAGTAAGATCAATTCATTTTGTCACCTTGAAAGTGTGCTTTAAAGTTGTGAAATCATCCAGTCACTAAAGGCCTAGGCTTTAAGAGGTGTATCTACTATTCAGCCAACACTCGCTTGCATGATTATGATTGTAATATGAAATTCTAGACTTTTCATATGACCTTTTAGTTCCTCTTGGATTTCACCAAATTTATGAAAACCTGCTATTCCTTGTTTTGGTATAAACTTAGATTGTGGAGTCCACTGTTGTGTGTCTCCATTTGGTTCATGCTGTAGCTTGGTCTTGTGTGTTTATGCATCTGTTTGACTTGAGTAGCCCCCACTCTGAACTTTGTCTTCCCCCGTCTGAACCTTGTCTTTTTGCCTTACTTGCACTTGCATGAATAGATTTTACTTCACACCAGAAGTCCAGAACTATATGCTCATAAAACTTTAATGTTATTGAAAACTGCAAATCCTGTAAACAAGAGTAATCAACTTTAAAACTTTACTTACCATCACCACTTATGTAGTCTATATTGCTGCTCTTCCTCTGGCTTATTGGTTTAAGTTATATCCTAATTTTCTTTTGTCTGAGGCTGGTCTCTATCTTTCTCTAAATTTGGTGTGAGTTTTACTTACTTGATTAAGTAACTCTCTAGGGTCTGGAGGATCATCTGGGTGACATGGATTTTAAGATTGCTGGTACCCGTAATGGTGTAACTGCAATACAATTAGATATTAAACCTGCTGGAATTCCTTTGGATATCAGATGTGAGAGTCTAGATCCTGCACTTAAAGGGAGGCTTCAAATCCTTGGGCACATGGAGCGTGAGATAAGTGCTCCACGTATTCAGGATGACATATATTCTCCTCGGCTAGGTAATTAGCTTCAATCATTGATCTTATGCTTCTCTATACTCCCTAGTTCCGCTTCATTTGACATGTCTCTTTTGCTCATGTTTTGATGACTGCTTCAAATACAGTTACGTCAAAATACAGCAATGATGCACTTCGTCGCTTGATTGGTCCTGTTGGTGCTTTGAAGAGGAAAATTGAAGATGAAACAGGTGCAGTCAACAGTTTGCATTAGACTTATTTGTTACTTTTACCTGGTTACTTTGGGTGATCTTTGACATGAGGGCATGGTTAATAGTATTTTTCCTCGTGCCTCTCTTGCGTATGATCATTGATGTAGCTCTAATGTCAACTGTTCTTGACTTTTTAAGTAGAATTTTCTTCCCTTCAAACTTGTTGCAGGAATACTTGTTTTTGGCTTCTAATATGCTGATTTGTACACCAGTTTTTTCTTTGCTTCATATTGCTTATCCACATTATCGCTTTGCCTTGTTAAGTTGTGTGACGATATGACACTTGTGCCCAACTCAGCCTCAGACCGCTAACTCATGAGGAAGGATTCCCAAGACAATTTAAGGAGACCATCAATCCATTCCCCAACCAATACGGAACTCTTAACACTCCCTCACACGCCCCAGACCGCCAACTGGAGCATTGACAACATTACATGGGGCCCAAGCAGGGCGGACCTGACTCTGACTCTGATACCATGTAAAAAATATGACACTTGGTCCGGACTCAACCTCAAAGCTACCTCACGAAAAGAGGATTGCCCAGTCTATATAAGGAGACGACCAATCCATTTTCCAACTAATGTGGGACTCTAACCTCTCTAACAAATGGATACACACGCATAGAGACAGATGATGCACGTCTTACAGCACTGCATTTTCATATGTAAACACCTTGTGATGGTGTTCTTTCCAGACTGCAGTTTTCATTTTTAATTTCTCCAGCTGATTCCTTTGTTACTCCTAAGATTGCATTCATTTCTCCTTGCTGATTCATAATGTAGGTGCACGGATCTCCGTTAGTGATGGAACACTTACTATAATTGCCAAAAACCAGTCGGTGATGGAGAAAGTACAGGAGAAGGTAATTTTGTGTTTCCCTCTTGTTTACTTGCTGTAGGTTAGATAAAAAACTGCTTTTGTCACTGTATTCCATTTAGAGAAAAACTGCCTCTTGTTTTAGCATGTAACATTTTTCTTAGAGATTGAGCACAATCATGTTACTGAAGTAAGGTGAACAGCTAAGACAGAATGGTGAAATAGGTATTAAAAAAAAAGGTTTGTCGTGAAAGCTCCTCAATTGCTATAGATGTTTCTATACCTTGTTTTTCACTTCACTTTGGCTTCAGTGTTCTTGAAAAGTTTCTGAGCCAACCAATTCCATCCTTTGCAATTTATTGCTGACAGGTTGATTTTATAATTGGACGTGAAATTGAGATTGGAGGCGTATATAAAGGTATTATTGTATCTGTTAAAGAATACGGCGCCTTTGTGGAGTTTAATGGTGGACAACAGGGCTTCTTACATATTTCAGAATTGTCACACGACCCGGTAGGTTCTCTTTTTCCTCTCTCTCTCCCTTGCTATCAAAACTTTATACTGCCAGGGATCTTAGCAGTTTAAAACTTAGTTTTTTTTAACTCGCTCAGTCATAGTAATTAGTACCCACTCTACATGAGTCGATATTACCTTTACTAATTTGCAATTGCTCACCCCTACCATGCAAATAGAGCTTGAGACTATTTGCAGAAAATAATCATGACCTTCTGGGATAGTATATCATTGCTTTCAAGGGCAAGTGTATAGTTTTTCTTTGGAACTTTGAAATTTAACTAGAATATTGCTTTCAGTCTGCCATGGTCCCTCTCAATTTTTTTCATTCAGCAAAGGTTAATGTCTATATGTAAAAATTGTGTAAATCATGCATAGATTTATAGTTTCTAAAGCTATGTTAAACACACAAGTCAAATAGTTAATTGTCCTTTTTGCACTTGAGAAACAAAGTCTGAGGCATGGAGGTTTAGGCTAGAGTGGCTAGTCCTTCCATGTTATTGTTTTGTGATTAATTTGTGTCTTTTTACTATTAGGTTTCCAGAGTTTCAGATGTGGTATCTGTGGGAAAGCAACTTTCTTTAATGTGTATAGGACAGGACGTTCATGGCAATATTAAGTTATCATTAAAAGCCACCCTGCCTAGACCTAAATCTAAGACAGGCATTTCTGTTGATGAACCTACTAGTCAAGAGGTCAATGTTTGGGCTGCCATTGAGGATGTATCCAATGAGCAAAAAAACCAAGGTGCTACTGTGGGACCTGAAACTAACACCAGCAGTTCTAATCCGAAGTGCGCCCGAGTGTGATAAGGAGGAAAAAAGTGATGCTCTGAATTCGAAAGGTGATAATGGATCTCAAAGTGCTTCTAAATCTGAGAAGAAGACAAGGATACCGTCCTCACTTTTTGAATCCGGTTTTTCTTCTAGAAGTGCTAAGAAGTCCAAAAGAGGCAAGGATGCCATTCTTGACCTAATAAGTGATGATGAAAGTGAGCAGAAACATACTCCTGAAGTAGGCCTGCATTCCCAGATTGGGTCAGATAAGGATGATGCTACGTCTGAGACCCCTATGAGTGCAAACAAACTAAAGCTTGGTATGAGATTAACAGCAAAAGTGCATCAAATTCGTGCCCTTGGTTTGGTGCTTGATTTGGGTGGTGGGATTCGGGGAATGTATCGTTTTGAGGTATGTTTGACTTTACTGTCTCAAAGTTTCTCTGTTATTTTCAACTTTCTACATTAATAAGTCTGCTTTATGTGAAACCCTTAGTTGCAAGTTGTGGTCAAAATGTTTGGTATCTTTTCTTATCTTGTCCTTGCTCGGCTCGGCAAGTTATTGTTTATCAATTACCCTTCCTTTATTTTTACGCTTCTATCGGTGTACATTGCTTGCTTTCCCTCTTTTCCTTGTTTAGCCATGTAGTATTCACAAAAGCCTTAGCAAATATTATGATGGTCCCAGTAGGGTCTATTGTGCATCGTACCACTTTTAGATATTCATCATAATAGAATTTCGTTTATCTCACCTGGAGATCCTAATTCCAAGTCAAATGAAATTTACTTTTTTTTGTGTAGCCTGGTATGAAGAGGGACTTTGAGGTGGGTGATGAGCTGTGGGTGAAGTGCTCAAGTTTTTCAACCAAAGGGATTCCAGTATTGTCTTTGGTGAAAGAAGAGTAATTTAAGGAGCTATTATACCAAAGTAAAGCATGAAACTGCAGGCTGTAAAAAATGTCAACTAAGAAAATTGACAGGGAATCACAAGACACCTATGCTTGAAATCTGTTTCAAAAGCCTGCATTTCTCAGAGCACGTGCAGATCGTTGCGATGAGTTGGATCGTGAGAATAAAGGAAACAGAAGGCCTCCTAAAATCAGGTAGCCTCCCAGAACAGGGTTGTTCCAAGCCCTTCACCTCTGGTTGGTTTTAGTCCTGTGACTGTGTCACGAATAGCTTCAATTTTGGTGCGAGTTGAACGTCAATGTAAATCATTCTTTCATGGCTCTTTCCATATTATGTTTTTTCTACGCAAACAACAAGGGGTTTGGGGATGTTTTTCTGTTTTATTAAAAATCTCCCTATTTGGTGGGATAACAAAATAAGGGAGATTAATAATGTGTTGTTTCCTTCTTTCTACGTACCCTATAAGAAAAGGAGCACCAAGCAACTATGGACAAATGATGAACATGCAGAGCGAGCATATATATATATTAAACTAAAAAGAAAAGGAGTGTTACTTCATTCCAAGTCAAAATGAAGACGAAATACGTAGGCATGGATGCAGCACATAATGCATATATATAAGAAAGAAAAGGCAGACGTACGTTAGTACCGGCCAGCTACACTAAACAGGACTGGAAATTAAATCCTAAGAAGTAGCTAGGGACAGCCTTTATTAACACACACAAGGGAGACAACCGGTACTGCAAAAACTATGTATGTAATTTATTTAACCCTTGGTCTTATACTTTGACTCGTCAATCTCGATCCCTTCACGTTGAGCACGCTCACCACCAGACTCGTCTCCCGTGCTTAGACCTCCCTTGCGTCCCATTTCCTGGTACCCTTCACTTCCCAACTGGTCCTTCCTCGTCTGCCCTCCTCGGCTCCTCCCTGGGAAAAAGTACACCAGCGTATTTATATATATATATATATATATATATGGAGATCAAAAAAAATATCTATAAATAAAGAATACCCTCAGCAAGGTGCTCTTGAGCTTCAAGACTTTTGCCACCAGTACCACCAGGAACTACAGTTTCTCCTTCCTTTGCCCTCCGATCGAGTTCTGACCTTTTTTCTTGCTCTGACGCCATTTAATTAATTTCTTTATTATTACTGCTACCTACACAAATTGACTCATTTATAGGGAGATAATGGCTGTTATGCAGTTGACATGTGGAGGTTGACGCAGCACCAAGAATCACACGTGTCCACTATGCTTGCTTACACGCAACCTCTCATTCATTCCCCACAAATCACAATGATATATATGTTTAGCCATATCTGAAGATGTTTCCAGTATCTCACTCATATTTCCAATCCTTCTTATTGTACCAGCGGTGCAGTAGCACACGCACACTTATCCCAGTTGCATGTCTATTCAAAAATAATCATATGAACATATATATCTAACTTGAAAAACTGATAAAAATTAAAATATAGTACTAATTAATAACACACCTATGAGAAACATAAAATTATCAATAACTTCAAATCCACCTTATCGGTATTTCACTACTTTTATTTCCCTCTGACAGTAGTGGCATACACGTACCATTTTCTTTTTCGTTCTCTCACTCATGAGTACATACCAAAAAAAAAAAAACTAATAACTTCTCTGATTTAATAAAATGCTGTAATTTAATTTGACACTAAATTTTAAAAAGTAATTTTATTTTTTTAAAATTTTATGATCTTAAATTAGAATTATGTTAAATATATCAAAATGTTCGTTAATTTTCTGACCTTAAGCATATCCCGTGAAAAATTGAAATGAAATATGTTTTATCAAAAGAAAGAATCATTTAAAAAAAAAAAACTAAGAATGATAATGGATCATTTTAAAAAAAAATTAAAAATAAAGATAAATGTTTAATTTAGGTTGTACCATTCGAATTCCAAAAGTTTAATTATATATCATATCATAAATTTAAATACAAAATAATTTTAAAAAATAGATTATAAATTATAATAATTAACTATTTAAATTTTTTAAAACGCATATAAAAAATCAACTATATTATTAGTTAATTTATAATTTTATGAATTTGATCAAATGGATATGAGGGAGCAATTATGACATATTTTATTATATATTTAGTCAATTCATGATTTTATTTTGTTAGTCGAAGAAGCTTAAAATAATCAATCTGAAACACATTTTGATATCAAATTAATTTCAGTTTTGGTCAATTGTTACGTGACTATTTGAAATTTGATTAACTGTGCAAAATTCGATTCCAATTTTAAACGAAATTGCCTATTTATGCAAGCAATTGGCTATTATATGAATGCGAATTTGGTTAATATGACATAATATAGCAAACATGTGCTACGTATTTGTTGTATGTAATTAGACTTTTTTCTTCTATTTTATTTGATGTATTTGTATTAATTATATATTTTCTCTGCCTCTATCTTTATACAAGTGATACAAGAGCTTTGAATACAAGTGATACAAAAATGAATGAACATAAGTTATGTTATATAAGAGCTACTAAAAAATTGCCAAAAAATGACGGACAGAAAAGCGACGGACTGCGTCGCTGCAAAAAGTGACGCCATTTGCCACATTGTCCGTCGCTTTTTAATAAAAATAATTATTTTTAAAATTATTTTACAAAAAGCGACGGACGGCATCTCTTAGTCCGTCGCTTCTTTTCGCGGATTTTTGCGCTAAATATATATAATAATTATTTATTTAATATATATAGAGACACCGTTCGTCGCTTTTTAATAAAAATAATTATTTATAAATTAAAAAATAACCACGTTGTCCGTCGTTTTTATTTTATTTTATTTTATTAATTAGTTTTTTTAAAAAGCGACGGACGGCATTTCTTAGTCCGTCGCTTTTTGGTCAAAATATCTAGTCAAACATTTTTAAAAAGCGACGGACAATGTCTCTTAGTCCGTCGCTTTTTAGTAAAATATTTTTTAAAAAGCAACGGACAAAGAGATGTTGTCCGTCACTTTTTTTAAATTATGTTGAACCAAAAAGCGGGTTTTCCCCCATTTTCCCATCTCTCTTTCTCTCTCTTCTCTCCCTTCTCTCCCTTCTCTCTAAAACCAAACTGTTGCGCCGCCGCCGCTGCCCCACACCATCCCATGCCGCCGTCACCCTTCTCTCTTTGAGCATTAGTCCCGTCGCTGCCTTGCCCATCGGCGCCGCCACCCGTCGTCCCCACTGCCTCTTTTCCTTAGCTTGTTAAGGTTAGGGTTTAATTTTAGTTTTTTTTTCAATTCTAGTAATATTTGATTTGTTATAAATTAGTATATTGTTTTAGTTTGATGAATTGTGTTATTCAATTGTTAATTTGTATATTTGATTATTGTTAGTTAGGTAGAGAATTAGGAATTTTTTATTTTAGGATTTTCTTCTTAATTGGATTTTAAAAAAAAATATGATTGTGAATTGAATATTAGAAGATAGAACTAACAAATAATTAGAAGTTAGAAGTTATAAAGTTAGAAGTTAGATTAGTTGCATTTTCCAACTTTGAAATTCTTGAATTTAGTATGTTTGACGGTTGAAGTTAGAAAAACATTCAATTGTATATGAAAGTTAGATTACTTTGAAGTTAGAAAAATATTGGATAGTATATGAAAGTTGAAATTAGATTAGTTGAATTTTCCAACTTAGAAGTTCTTGAATTTAGTTAGTTTGAAAGTTGAAGTTACAAAAATTGGGAATTTTTAAATATGATTGTAAATTAAGTATTAGAAGTTAGAACTACCAAATAATTAGAAGCTAGCTAGAAGTTAGAGATTAGTTGAATATTTCAATTTGTCATTGTATTTGTGCTTATATGTATTATATTGTTGTTGAAAATTGATTTACTTGAATTATATTCTTGAACTTGGAAATTCTTGAACTTAGAAATTTTAGAAATTAGATATGAACTTGAATTTTTGTAGGATTTTGAACTTTAGGTTGTGAACTTTAGAACTTTAAGTTGTGAACTTTAGAAGTCTTGAATTATTGTAGGATTTTAAACTTTAGGTTGTGAACTTTAGAAATCTTGAACTATTGTAGGATTTTAGAAATTTAGGTTGTGAACTTTAGAAATCTTGAATTATTGTGGGATTTTAGAACTTTAAGTTGTGAACTTTAGAAATCTTGAATTATTGTAGGATTTTAAACTTTAGGTTGTGAACTTTAGAAATCTTGAATTATTGTATTTAGAACTTTATAAGATTGTAAACGTTAACAATCTTGAATTATTGTAGGATTTTAGAACTTTAGGTTGTGAACTTTAGAAATCTTGAATTATTGTAGGATTTTAGAACTTAAAGTTGTGAACTTTAGAGAACTTGAATTTTTGTAAGATTTTAGACCTTTATAAGATTGTGAACGTTAGAAATCTTGAATTATTGTAGGATTTTAGAACTTTAAGTTGTAAACTTTAGAGAACTTGAATTTTTGTAGGATTTTAGAACTTTAGGTTGTGAAACGTTAGAAATCTTGAATTATTGTAGAATTTTAGAACTTTTTAAGTTATGAATTTTAGAAAACTTGAATTTTTGTAGGATTTTAGAACTTTAAGTTGTGAACTTTAGAGAACTTGAATTATTGTGGGATTTTAGAACTTTAGAAATCTTGAATTATTTTAGGATTTTAGAACTTTAGGTTGTGAACTTTAGAAATCTTGAATTATTGTGGGATTTTAGAACTTTAAGTTGTGAACTTTAGAAATCTTGAATTATTGTAGGATTTTAAACTTTAGGTTGTGAACTTTAGAAATCTTGATTTATAGAATTTATGAACTAATTATTAGGTTGAACTTTAGAAATCTTGATAAAATATAGTCTTTACGAACTATTTGTAATTTTGAAACGAATTTTGAAAGACTTTATAAGTCTTTAAATCACAATTTTTGACTGTTAATTTAAGTTTGTTGTTTTATATTTTGTGTAGCTTCTTTATAATGCTTTGTGTTTGATTGGGGTTAAACTGAATTGAATTACTTTTGTAGGAAATTTTTTTACAGAAAAAGCGACGGATTGACTGCGTCGCTTTTCCGTCTCTTTTTGGCAGTTTTTTAGTAGTGAGTAAATGAATACAAGTGATACAAGAGCTTTGAATACATGTGATATAAGAGCTCTGAATACAAGTGACATAAGAATAAATGAATACAAATGATACAAATTTATGTTTTGAATACAAGTAATACAAAAGAGATTGAATACAAACGATACAAAAATGAAATATGTAAGAACGAGAAGGTAAAATTATAGAATACAACCTAAATGTACGCACGAATACAAAAAACACATTTATATGATACCTCAAAATATGTAAATACATAAAGTGGTGATAAATACAAAGAGAAATTAGAGAGGTGAAAATACAAAATATAAAGAAAAGAGAGGTGAAAATACCAAATATAAAGAAAAGATAGGTGAAAATAAAAAGTACAAAGAGGGAGAGAGATAAAAATATAAAAAAATAAAAATACAAAAAGGGAGAGAAGAAGAGGTGAAAATACAAAATATAAAGAACGAGAGAAGTGAAAATATCCAAAGAGGGAGATAGAACTGAAAATACAAACTACGAAGAGGGAGTGTAATGTCTCATTTCGTGAGAAATTGCTTTTATGTGTGAAATGACGATTTTTCTCTTCCCCTTAGCTGCTATCTTGGGATCCACGTGAGCTTATATCAAAATTAAAAAAGATAAATTTCTATCAAAATATAATAAAAAGATATGTATAGTTGAATGAAGATATAACAAAAATTATAGTAGTATTTAATAAATTGTACTACAATACAACGATGTATTTGAACCTTTTGGGAATATAAAATTGTGAGGCGGCTTAGTTACCGTTAGGAGCGGCGTGAAGGTAGCTGTCACAAAGGACACAAGTATATGCACATACACCTTAGAAGTATTCTGCATTTAGCTTCTCTTGAAGATGACAGATTTGTTGAGCTGCTCATCACCTCAGCCTCAAGACATTCATCTTCCCTTTTCCTCTCATCTTCTAACCAATGCTGCTCAAAGAGACGCGGTCACTTACAGGTACCTACCTTCTTTCACACAGTTGTAGAATTTTGTAACTCATAAATAATAAAATGGTACTAGAATTACAACATAATATAATGTACAACCAACATGAAATGTGTTCTCGGAATTGGATTTCATTTCTTCTGATTTTGTATCACATCCATTTGTCGTAGCAAAGGGCAAGGTTTCAAGTGTGAAAAAAACATTAAACTTGATTTTTGGAGCCACAACTGATCCTAAATTTCTTCTAGAATCAACCATTGTAGTATCTTGGCTATTTATCTTTAAGGATAGGTTTAGAAGTTCTATGTTCTTTTTACATAGCTAGAAGATAAAGTTATTTAGATTGTATCTCGAATCTATAGGGTAGACCTTATTCATTTGTAACTAATCCAAATTCAACAAGTGTTGTTGCCTAACAAAGTTAAATCATCTTTTTCCTTTTATAGTTGTCTTCTTTAGTTGAATTTTTCGATCCTAATTAACGATTCTGGACTCCACACAGTACTATTGTGATTCTAATTACAATTTGTTGCAGTTGTGGATCCTGTGGATATGAATTGAACCTCAACTCTTGCAATCGCAATACCACAGTCATTGGATCAAAATATGGGAAAACAATGAGGAGAGGGGTTCTATCATTTCTATGCATTGACGAGAGCAGATTTACTCAGATAAGTAAACTTAGATGCTCGCCCTATTTCAGGTCCAAAAACTCGTGGGGTTTCTTTCAACGACACACTAAACTCTTGTGTCGAAAATGCACAAGTTATATTGGTATTTCTTATAGTACTAGTAATAACAATAGTACAAGTGGTGCTGCAATACATATTGATGTCAACTCAGATGCTGCAGCATTAGCAACACCTAATTGTTGGGATGGGCTGTCAGCTTGTACAACTAATTACGAAATCAAGATATGTGCATTAAGGCCATCTGTGAAGGAAGTCATTATGCACCAGTAAACTAAGCAAAATGCTCATTCTTGTTTGTGTCATAAGACAGATTCAATATATGTATGTACCTTAGTAGGAACATACATGTTTGAAGAATCTGTTGTGTACCACCAAAAAGGAATGCTTGCTTTTGTGACCAATATCATAAGAAACGGAAGACAGAGTCACTCTGCTAAAGTTTTACCAAGATGGATAGTATTATCCTTATTGCACTTCTTGTTCTTACTTATGTATGATGATTGTTAAAGTTTGTACTGTACACTATAGCTCAAAATGTGTTATCTTCATGTTTCGTTGAATTTATTAAAGCAAAAGTAAAAACATACAAGCATACTCTAAGGTCTCAATGTATAAGTTATTCAGTTGTTCTTTGTTTCTTAGATCCTTTTCTGCGTAATTTCACAGGCACTTGATGTAGACAGAATTGACAAGATTCTAAGAATAGATCTTATTGATCTTCCTGCCAAAAATCCTTTAATTTTGGCATCTTTCTTCGGAAATCCATGCCTGATTGATTTGGGTAGCTGCTACAAAAGATCAATTGCCATCAAGGGCTCTAGAGGCACTAGCACAAATTGTATTTCGTGGACAAATCTAGGACTAATGCCTTTCCAACTGGATGGAGGTTTTGTAGTTCAATGCAACATGTTTAAATAATTAAATAGCATGTATTAGGGAAAAAATTCGACAGTATCAGTAGCAGGCCTGACATGAATATCAGGGATGACCATGATGTTCACACCGATGAAAATAGATATGATACATAAACATGACTCTTAACTTGGCTTCAAACCTATGTCCTCTAACTTTGAGTATGCACAAATAGACACTTAAACTTGTATAAAAATTGAACAAGTAGACACACATGTCCTACATGGCTTAATACACGTAGGATGTCAGGTAGGACACAAAATTGCCATGTAGGGCGAATATGTCTATTTGTTCAATTTTCTACAAGTTCTAAGGGCATACTTGTGCAAATCCAAAGTTAAATGTCAGATGTCAAGTTAAGGATCATGTTTATGTGTTATGCGGATGAAAATACTAGCTAAGGAGCTTAGTGACCGGGTAAGTAGTTACACTATAGCCAGTTCTGTCTCAGAGCATCCTTGATGGAAACCTCGTCTGAAAGGAAGTCATCAATAGATAGCTTGCGATGGGCACAAATCAATCTTGAAATCAGAGATGGATCTGAGGCAAGTGATAACACTCTAAGTATAATCTAGAGAAGTTTTTTTTTTTTGCATAGGATCATTCAAGACTAGCCTTTTCTAGAGGATCATCTTAAGAGAATTTGCCCTACCCTAACCCCTAACATGAACCGACTTATAACCCTTGGGTTGGACTGGATGGCTCATGACGTCAAATATTAACAAATTCATAAAAAGTTAATTATTCAAAAAATAAAATATAATAAACTGATTGATTGTTTGGGCTAAACTCTGCTTTCTATCTACCTGTATATCAAAATAGTTATGCTACGTAATTTCTCAGTTTGACTACAAAAACAGAGGTATATAATAAAGTGTTCATAAATCACAACCACTCGTAACTAATTTGTGAATATGAGTTTTTTCAAGAAAACAGAAGAGAAAACTGCAGTGTAGAAATGGGGAAATTGCAACTCAACTAATTAATATATGAATAATTTGACTGCATTGTCTATATGACATAGCAAAAATAATTTGGTCAATATTAAAAAACTTGCTTGTACGAAAGAAAAATTTACTCCACTACTATAGAAACTTGAGAATTACTAAGGCCAAAGAAGTTAGCTTTTAGGGTGTGTTTGGTATGAAGGAAAATGTTTTCCATGGAAAACAAGTACATTTTTGACTTATTTTTTCATGTTTGGTTGGTGAGTAGAAAATATTTTTCGGAAAAGTTTTTGTAGTGTTTGATTTATGAATAAAAAATATTTTTGAGAAAATATCTTTTATTTTTACTAGAGACTAGAAAATAATTTTTGAATTGAAATTGAAAATATTTTTTAAAAATAAATTTAAATTTTTTTGGGGTGGGTGGTGGGGGTGGGCTGGCCGGGGGAGGGGGGGTGAGATGGGGTAAAAAAAATAAATTGAAATTAAAAATATTTTTTAAAAATAAACTTAATTTTTTTTTTTGGAGGTGGTGAGAGGCTAATAGGGGGGGGGGGGTTGCGGATAGGGGTGGGGTGGGGAAATAAAAATTTGAAATTAAAAATATTTTTAAAAAAATAAACTTGATAATTTTTTTGGATGTGCTTAGGGGCTGATGGGGTGAAAAAATAAAAATTTGAAATTGGAAATATTTTTTTAAAAATAAACTTTGATTTTTTTTTTGGATGTGCTTAGGGGCTGATGGGGGGGGGGGGGGTTGCGGGTAGGGGTGGGGTGAAAAAATAAAAATTTGAAATTGGAAATATTTTTTAAAAACAAATTTAATTTTTTTTTTGGGGGGGGGGGGGGTTAGGGTATGGGTGGGGTGTGAAAAATAAAATTTGAAATTGAAAGTATTTTTTAAAAACAAACTTTAAATTTATTATTTTTTTGGAGGGGGGGAGGGTGGGGTCGAGGGTAGAGGGGGGGTTGGGTGAAAATAAAATATCTTTTAAAAATAAACTTTAAATTATTATTTTTTTGAGGGGGGGCGTGGTAGGGAGCTGGCGGGAGGGGGCGGGGTCGGGGTCGGGGTGAGGGTGGGGTAAAAAAAATAAAAAAATTGAAGTTGAAAAATATTTTTTAAAAATAAGCTTTAAATTTATTTTTTATGAAAAAATAAATTAATTTTTCAACAAAAAAATAGTAATTTAAAGAAAAGTTTTGGAAAATGTTTTCCTTAATTTTTGAAGGGAAGTCATTTTCCTAAAATTTGAGCAAAATGAGTTGATTTGGAAAAATTTCCTTCATACCAAACACACCCTTAGTGTTACTCAGAAAACAGTCCAGATTAATTAATGATAATATAAGAAGTTTACAAAATATGATACATCATGAGTTTTAATTTTCTGGAACAAAGCTAACATAATGTGAAGTGAAAACGTAAGATGGTCACATCAAGAAGAGACTTATGGGACAAGCATTTGTGAAAACTGTGAACTAATGTATATAGTGGGTGAACCAACTTGTACAGGGAAATTAATCTACACTTTGCCCTATAATATAAGCTGACCTTCATGCCCAATCAAAACCTATTCTTCCAAACTTCAAACTACCCTCTCTCCCTTTTCTCCTGTGTATTTCCTCTATCCCAATTTATACGACTCACTTTTTTTTTTAGTCGGTCTCCAAAAAATGACAAATTCATTTATTTAGTAACAATTTATTGTCCTTAATGAAAGCCACACAAGCATTTATGACTTATTTGATACCACAAGTTTCAAAAGTCCTTTTATAAACTCTGTTCGAAATCAAACTACATCACATAAATTGAAACGGAGAGTAATATAATAAGTCTCAACTCTCAAATCTTTACTGCTTGCATGCGTTTTCTGTTACTTGACAGAATTTAAGAACAGAAACACAATGGATCATGCCTGCAATAGAATTGCAAACATGACTTTGTGTTATTTCTTCTTCATCGCCATTTTGCTTCTCTTCATAAATGCAAGTACTGCAGAAACACACTACCATGATTTCGTTGTATGCCTTTCTCGTCTCCATTAATCTCTTTATTTCTTTCTAATTAACATTTTTGAGATTTTAATTATAATTGGAAGACGATGAGCTTCACCTTCACCTTCACGTTGTTGGTGAATTAAGGTTCGATTCCCCTTCCCCATTTCACTTTGTTTGAACTATGTTGTTATGGAACAGATTCAAGCAACACCAGTAAAGAGGCTGTGCAAGATCCATAACACTATAACAGTGAATGGACAATTCCCTGGACCAACATTGGAAGTGAACAACGGTGATACTTTAGTCATCAACGTAGTCAACAGAGCTCGATATAATGTCACCATTCACTGGTAAGTTCAGAATGCAAATGAATGTGAGTATAAATGATGGATTAATTAACTTCTATATAGTTCACAGACAATATCAAATCCGATACTATCATGTTACCTAGATGATAATTACAGGTAATCGTTCCATAAAACTAGACATATATAGTAACTTGAAAAATAAAGCAAAAAATACTTTTTTGTATTTGGAAAGGCATGGAATCAAGCAAATAAGAACAGCATGGGCAGATGGACCAGAATTTATAACACAATGTCCAATTAGACCAGGAGGGAGTTACACTTACCGCTTCACAATTCAAGGACAGGAAGGCACACTTTGGTGGCACGCTCACAGCTCATGGCTCAGGGCCACTGTTTACGGAGCATTAATCATCTACCCAAAAGAAGGAGAATTCTACCCATTTTCTAAGCCTAAAAGAGAGACACCTATTCTGCTTGGTACTGATTCCTTCCCATTTTTAATTGAACACTTGAAAATAATACTTACTACTACATGAACAGTTACTCATTAAAGTAATGGTTTGGCATTTTGTGATTAGGTGAGTGGTGGGATGCAAATCCTATTGACGTTGTAAGACAAGCCACGAGAACAGGAGCAGCTCCTAAAGTATCAGATGCTTACACCATTAATGGTCAACCGGGTGATCTCTACAGGTGTTCGAGTAAAGGTAAGTTCCAATCTATGATGAACATTCAAGATATGATTTGAGCTATATAAATTGATAGTGTAAACATATTTTACACTACTCGTGTAGTATAAGTGCCTTGACACTACTCACTAGAGAAACATTTCACACATTGTCGGTGCATAGAAATTAAAAACACGATACCTCCTATGATGGTCAACAATAAGCATGTGTGATACTAATGCTAAACAATGACATACAATTATCTCACTGTACTAGTTTTGGAAACGTGCGTTGCACGTTTGTCTTCTACTACGATCTGTAAATCTAATCTCATGTCGATATAAATATATATCACATTATATTTTTATAAATACAATAAAGCTTGTATTGATTAATATGCTTCTATATAAAGCTTACTTTTGCATCCAAAAATAAAGAGATAAGTG